TTAGGTATTGGGTAGGATTAGGGATGTAAAATATGGTCATGCAGAGTATGTGCTTTATAATTACTAATAAACATCCAATATGTTAATAATGTGCATGCTAATAAGCAACTAGTTAATAGTGGATTGGTCCCTCCCTATACCAAAGTGTTGCTATTTTATTAAATTTTTTTAAGAAATTACTATTTATTTAGCAAGGATGCATTAAATTCTAATTTTACATTGTTGCAAATAATTTCTGGTACAAATAATTTCTATTTAAAATAAATGCTGTCCTTTTGAACTTTCTATTCATAAAAAAAGGTGTCACCGATTCATTACAAATGTTACGAGAAATGTGTAAGAAATGTTTCTTGAGCACCCATGATTTCTGAAGGATCTTGTGATACTGAAGACTGGAGTACAGGCTGCTGATAATTCATCTTGCCATCACAGAAATGAATTACATTTTAAAACCATATTAAAATGGAAAACTGTTATTTGAAAAATTGAACTAATATTTCACAATATTACTGTTTCTGTATTTTTAACTCAATTAAACACAGCCTTGGTGAGCATGAGAGACTTATTTCAAAAACAGTAAAACCTTACTGACCCCAAACTTTGAACGTTAGTGTATATTTATTTTTGTATTATTTAGTGAAGGAACACTTTGCTGACAATCAGTATCTGCAGTATCTTAATGAATATTAATGTTTGACAGTATTTGTGTTTACATCCTTTATGAAACTGTTGATTAGTTCCTAAAATCAGCATCATCTAAACGTGCACATGTTCTCCTGTTTGCTGTCTTCAGCTCTCCATCTTCCTCATTTCTCTTCTTCTCTCCACAGGTGCAGATTCTGTAATCCATAAACTGGCAGGATGGTGGTGCTGTCTCTGAAGATCTGTGTGAGACAGTGTAATGTGGTGAAGACAATGCAGTTTGAGCCATCAACGGCTGTGTACGATTCATGTCGGGTCATCAGAGAGAGGGTTCCAGAAGCCCAGACAGGACAAGGTGGGATAACTTTCTTTCTATGGTCTTTGTAGTATATCTATGGAAGCCCGTTTCCGCCATTGAATAAAAAAAAAAAAAAA